CATCCTCGTCATCCCTGGTGGACGAGGCAGAGATGGTCTCCAAGTATCACCAGGCGTTTTCCAATGCCGTCGCCAAGGCCGTCAAGGCAAAGAGGCTGGACGACAAGGACGGCTTCGGGCATGATCGACCCAGCCACGGTCTAACGGGCATAACGGCGTGGATGCGGGCCCAAATAGACGTGTACTATTTGATAGGCCGCGCCTTGGCTCAGAAGCGAGGAGACAACATCCAGGACCGGCGGCTTCACTCTGAGGTTTAGGGTTTGGGGATTTCAGGGTTTAGGGTTTGGAGATTGGGTTTAGGGTTTAGGGTGTGATCCCATTTGCAGGACATGGTCGCCGACGTTTCGCAGTCCGCCGATCGCGGAAGGGTCTCCTTTGGATGCGTGCCTACGGTGACAAGATCGAGCACTTTGTTCCACTATGGTCTACGCTCGTTCATCCCGTCCGACCTGGTCTTCTTTCTGCACGGCTATCCGATCGACAATTTGTCGTGGAAGGGTGTGGATGCAAAAAGCTTGGTTGGCAACGTCACTGCTGCCACTTCGCTGGTGGTCGCTTTGACACCGCTCCTGAGAGCCCTGGGTGTCCTGTCCAGGTCTGACTAGTTGGCGGCCAGAGTCTGCTAGAGAGAGCATCAGAAGAAAGTTCATCGGTCTGTCACATAAAAATATAGCAGCTCCAGATGGTCTAAAACACAGTAGCTTTCTGAGGTTTCAGCTCTTCTTTTGCAGACATGTGGCAGCAGTGTCAGCCTGCATGACCGGCTTGACTCAGTTCATGGCCTGCTCAACACACTGTGTGTATACGTGTGGAGGTCTTGACACTGATTTTGCGCCACTAGTTTTTGAAGAAACTCCGCCCAGCTTTGCGCGGCGGGGTCGAACTCTACGCCGTCTGATGTGCCTTCAAAAAGACTCCTCGCAGCTCCATATCTGTCTGCGGCATGTTGCTTTAGGACTCGATTCAGCATTGGGGTCTGCGGTCATCAAGTCAGACACATAGCCGGGTCTCTCGTGTGATTCTGCAATGCAGTGTGCGAAGGCCCTGCTGTTGCTGGTGCAGATGCAGGCCCGGCTCCAAGAGACCTGTCCCGGAGTTTCCTTATGGCACGACATGTTTACAGGCACTTTGACGATAGCCAGCTCTGAGAGAGTTGGCTTGTTGAATGGCTGGAACCAATTGAGGGGTTTGTTGTTGTTGGTTGGCCCAACTTGTTGTAGGTCTCATGGTCTCATGCTGTTGGGCCCTCTGAAATTCATGCTCTAAGATCCCAACCCTAACTTTATCCCCAGATGCCCCGCCTTGCTCGGCGTTACGGCGCCGTCATAGAGGCCACGGGCTCAACTTATCGTATTGCCACGACCCCTGTGCAATCCTTCCTAGCTGCGATCCTGTCAGGTCCTTTGGCCATGTGGCTGAGGATGATACCCTGGAGGCTTGGCCAGCAGGGTTTATGCTTAGGGCTTGGGGTTTTTAGAGAGCCGGTGCATTGACTGATCACGGAGCTGCAGTGATTGCTCAAACCGCTGCGCTCTCGGTTGTGGGGGCTCGTTGGTTGGTGGTAGGGGGTGGGGTGGGGTGAATTACCTATGTTATCTATTGTCGTTCTTTGTTCATATATCTATTATCTGGAATCTGTCTAACGTCAGATTCATATATCTATCTACTGTGTAGGCCGCTCTGGAACATGTGTTCAAACCTGCCGGCTGGCCATTGCCTAGAATGCACGTGGCGTGCAGTCTTTGTTCCGGTAGGTCAGCTGCAGAAAGAAACCTCTGACTGCTAGCTTCTGGGCTGCGCAGGACTTCTGGCGCTTTTCCAGTTCACCACACAAGGCTTGGAGTGGTATGGTCTAGAATGTTGTGGCCTGCAAAAGTATCACTTTGTGAAAATGGAATTGGTGGCATGAGAGGGTCTCCACAAGAAATGAAGGGTGCGAAACTGAGCAGTCTGTGGAGTGGAGCTTGTGCACAGAGACAGTGTGACAGGGCCAGTATGTGCAATTAGGTCTCACGGACTATGTCATGCTTCTGTGGAGTGTGGATTGCCGGTCAACCATCCGGCGCAGGTTATATGCTTGTCCATTTGCGTGCGCATGTTTCTTTCGTAGAAGCTGTCCCACGTTATCGGGGAAGCCAGGTCCGAAAGCCGGGTTCTCAGCCATTTCATAATCTGCAATCGCAGCAGAAGTTGCCTGGTCTGCAGTGCATGTTGTCCCGTGGTCCCTGTCCTTTGAAGTTGCTCAGTGGATTGTTTGCCGAGCCCAATTGACTCTGACGGCGGTCTTGTGTTTCAGCAAGGCCAGACCAGAAGCAAAAGGAAGATCATCGGCCTGAACATCTTCGTTGAGGCTCGTGGTGTTTGCAGGACTTTGCTGATCAGTGCAGTGTCTTCCCTCTGGCCTGCTCTGCGAAGAGATTAGACACTGTCATGGAGTTTGAATGGAAGCCTCATGTCGTTTTCAAAGAAGCGTGCATGCATGCCTGAATCTCCGGGTCGGTGGCTGCTTTCGCTCCAGCTTTGGCATGTAAGTCTCCGGGGCCTTTTGTGCCAGAACCATGACTGAGATGTTTGACACCCTCGGAGAGCAGATCCTGCCAGCAAACTTCAGCCCGAGGAGCTGGGACGCCGTGAGCTTCTTTTGTGGCATCGATCCATTGTACTACTTGAAGTGCCGAGAGCCAGGACGGCTAAGGGCCCTGGGATGCAGCTATTGCTGCAGCTCGGCATCCCCGCCAAGCTCCAGCCATATGGTGCGCTATATGGCCTCGGACGGCAAGCTGCTCTTCCGGAGTTTGAAGAGCTCCGTCGTTGAGAAGTCGAAGTGCCCGAAGGTTTTCCTTTCCTCTGTGACGGCTGGTCACGACAAGGCCAGCCAGGAGGCACTTTCCAGGCTCGAATCGGCAATCCAGGTCTGCAGACCTGACGTCCTCATATTGGACGTGGTGATTTCAGCTTTGAAGCCCGCCGAGGTCTTGGAGGTCTTGGGCAAGATCATCTGCGAGCTGAATGTTATGGTGTGGTCTGAGTACCGGTACTGCCAGAGAAGGTTCATCTTGGTGGCCTCCAGTTTTGGTGATCCGGCTGTCCTCAGGAAGCAGTGGGAGAAGTGCGCCGCCTTGTTTCTTCACGCTGGGTCCTTGCAGCCAAAGACTCACTTGTTCTCAAGATCTTCGGAGGTCTTCCAGTATCACACTGAGATGTTCAATCGGCAGATGAAGCCCAGCGCGGCTGACAACGAGGACAAGGCTGCAGGGACTGAAGAGCCGGCTGCGCCACAGCAGGATGAAGAGCCGCCGAAGAAGAAGATGAAGAAGACGGTGCCCGAACTGGTCTCCATTGCGACCGGGAGCGGGGTCTTGCGCTGCACAGAGATGGATCCTAAGTTGCGGGAATCCTTCGATGCTCTGTGGAAGCAAAGCCCGAACCACTTCGTGCACACCTTGATTTTGCAGGAGCGGGCCTTGGCCATTCTCAAGATGAATGGCCGCTTGCCAAGCCCTCTGCTGGTGGAGGTGGGTGGCAACAGCAGCTTGAAGACTGTCGAGGTCTTACAAGGGGTCTTGCCGTCAAACCCCAAAGCCTCCGCCGACTTGCTGTGCATGACGCACCCGACTCAGATCCGCCTGCTGATGCCCGAAGAAAGGCTGGCATGTCTCGGATACAAGCTGGAAACCGTGATCTTGAACCTCGTGAGGCCCATGTCTGTGAAGAACACCATGGTCTCTGAAGCAGTACCTGTACCAGTTCTTACTGGTATGATTTTGTTAGCTGCTTCTCTTTGTGCCCAACGTTAGGAGCAGAAGCCCAGGGCGTTGTGGATACAAGCCGCTCGAGTACCTGGAAAAAAGTTTTTGCGCGAACTCCATCTCTGAAATTTGCTTCCAAACCAAACCGATCATCTCAGAGATGGCCGGCGCCGGCCATCTCTGAGCGAGCCGCTTTTTCATTGTGGAGCATGCCATAGACATGCCATCTCTGAAATCAGCCCGGATGACCAGACTAGTCTCTGCAAGGAAAAACCCATCATCTCAGAGATGGCCGGCGCCGGCCATCTCTGAGTCAGGCTCTTTGATTTGGGGACATATCTCAGAGATGGGATTCTCGATAAAACTTTTTTTGCAAGCATCCTACATGTTTCATGAAATCCCACACATTGGCTTCTCTCTGCTGTGTTCAGGTGCCAGTGAATGCCAGTGTGACGCGAGCAAGTAAGCAATCCAGAGATGGCCAGCTTGAAGCGTCTCATTGCATGAGGCTTTTCAGGTCTCTCAAGACCATTGCCCTCCCAAGATTCTGAGCCTCCGCCTCTCGGCTGTGTTGTCAGACACACAATGGGCGGCAAGCGTGGCGGCGCATCCGAGCTGTTGGTCCCCAAAAAGAAGGCGGCCCCCAAGCCCAAGGGTGCGGCCACCGGGAAGCTTGATGCATCTTTGGAAATGCACCCCACCATCGCCCTCCTCAAGGAGTGCCAGGCTGCTCTGAGCAAGCCTCTGCAGGCCCAAGAGAGTTTATCTTGTTTCGTGTGCTGCTGTGCTGGTGGCTCATATAGACTCAGCAGAGATGTGCTTGGGTTGTGTCAGGACAACACCGAGAAGGGGCCGCTTGAGGAACTCGGAGGTCTGTCTTGCTATGACGCAGACACCTACAAGAAGGAGATCAAGCGATGTGGGAAATACGAATGCTTGATATGCTTTTCGGATGTAGAGCTCTTCGCTTTCTGCCACCGAACCCTTCTTCCTACGATTGGCTTCTTGACTGGATCATCACAAGGGCATATTATTTAACCACAGAAGTCGGCACTCGATAGTAGTGGAATACAGAGTCTTTGTGGTATGTCCGTCCTACCCTGTCAAATATCTGGCTCAGCCCGCCCACTCTGAGGATTCAGCCACGGTTTAAGAGGGAGTGAGACGGCAGATCAGAGAATCTGAGACGGTTCGTGTTGCCTCTCATGAGTCATTCCATTGTGTTGAGTCTGAGGTGCTATCGAGAAGATGGTCTCCACGCACTGGACTGCGGACGATGGCTCCTTGGGCTTTTCCTCCTGGTCTGATGCTGTGGTGATCCGTTCCAAGAGTTTGACGGAGCGGCCAAAGCCATTGGAGCACGACACGGTGAACCATGATGCTTACCGCCACTGGGACCAGGATTGATTCGTTTAAATATATATATATATATATATATATATATATATATATATGGTCGTGTGCACCTGTTTCCGGGCGACAGCATCCAAGGTGTCAGCTTCTTTGTGGCGTGGTATGAGAAGAAGAAGAAGCTGGGCAAGAGTACGACCGACTTTGAGAAGGGCTCCAGATGCTTCCGTGTCCGATACGAATATCTGCCTGGCGAAGAGCAGGTCGAGCGGCGGAAATGGCAACTCTGCCAGGAGGCTTTCACCGGTGCTCAGGTGCAGACGCTGGTTGGTCTGCGACGGGCGCAGGCCGTCCAGGAGGTAGAACGCCTCCTGCAGAAAAACGGCAAAGCCGCTAGCGCGGCCGACCTCGAGGGCTGGTTCAAAAATGGTCTTTTGACTCTGACTATGAGTGAGAAGACGATTAGAGCGATGCTTCGCATTGCCAGGCGGTTTGGGAGTGTCATGCCGGACGGCCCGCTCATCATTGCTGAGCTGGACTCCAAGTTCCAGAGTGATCACTGTTTGGCTGGGCATACCAACTTGGACCTTTTATGCTCGCGCACTTCCATACCGAAGAACCAGCCGCTTGAGAATGCCCGCATGATGTGGGTCTTGGAAGCTTTGAGAGAGGACATTTGCAAGGGTGCGCTGGACCACAATGTGGGGGGAACTCTGCTTGGGTCTATCATCTCCATGTACCTCCTCAAGCGAAGGGTGATCCTGCACCAGGTGAAAAAGTTCGGCGCCGCGCACCCTGACTTCGGCAAAACTTTCGAGAGCATGCAGAGCTTCAAGAAGTCCGGTCTAGATGTGCAGCAGGCTTCGTGCATGGAGTGGCTGAGACAGGCTCCGGACTACGTGGTGGAGTCCGTGACGTTTTCGGTGAAGGTCTTGAAAGGGCACAAGGCCATGGACGAGCTCTTCCTCAAATTGGCCACTTCTGACCCCAAGATGTCACCTGAGGCCGCCAGGATTCAGCATGGTTTGCTGCATGGGTTGCTGTATGACATGTTTTCATATGTTGTGTGACCAGGGCGCCTTGCTGGAGTTGGAGAAAGCCGGCCTGCATGATCACCGTGCTGTGGTCGGACTTATGGAGGATGCAAAGCATCCGCCGGTCTCCGAGGAGGCGGGGTGCAGCTGGAGCTGAGTTTACTGTAACTCGACTTTGTCACAAATAAGCTCTGTTCCGTTGCAGGCTGCGCCAACGGAGGTGTCCCCGCCGGAAGTGTCCGCACCTGACGTTCCTGAAGACATGCCGGAGGACATGGGCGAGCAAGCTGCAGACAACAAGGCCGATGCAGCGGAGACGAAGGGCGTGGACCGTTTGCAAGCCTTCCCCCACCTCAAGCACCACATGTCTGATCTGCTGCATGACATCATCTACAAAAACCCGGACGACAGCAAGTTCTCCTCTGTCCTGGACGATGCCATCATCAGTGTCTCAGTTCATTGGTCCGGTAGTCTGAGTCTATTGATGTGAATTGGAGTTGTTTTTCAAATCCAGCCTATCCGCAGCTGAGGGAGAAACACTTACGTGCAGCTCCACGTCACGCCGGAGGATTCCTCTGAGTGGCAAATGCTGCTGAAAGGTCTCCGTCTGCCCGACCAGGGCCGGCTGCACAAGATCGACGCGAAAGCCATGCATCAGGGACCCGCCCCGGGGGGCAGGTTCATCGGTGCAGGGCGGTCCTTGACGACACGCGGTTCCGAAGGTCTCTCACCACGGTGTTTGGGGATCTGGGACCTGGGACACAGGGCATTGTCTCGGAGACCGACTTAGTCTTGATCTTCGATGGACGGGTGCCGCGGAATCAGTCGAGCATCACCCGAGAGCTCAGCAAGGTCATCAAAAATGAAAAGAAGACCTTGAAAAGATTGCGGAAGTACGAGCCGGTGACCCAGCTTCGCCTCTTGTACCACAACAGGGAGTTCGACGGCCGCCGGATGTCCAAGTCGTGCAGTGGCCGCTGGAGAACGTCTCCATGGTCTGGACCAGCAATGTCGGTCTGGAACTTCGGGAGAGGAAGTTCGTAGACTTGCCGGGCAGCAACAAAGCCAGAGGGTGGGCGGGGCAGTCCATCAAGGGCGACGAGGACTACTTGGTCTCGCTTTTGCCGCGGGAGTGTCTTCAGGCTATGGCTGACGGCAAAGATGCTCCCAAGGCTCCGCATTCGGACAGTGAGGAGGAGTCTGCCCCAGAAGACAAGGACAAGGACACAGCAGAGGTCTCCTCGGTGCTACCCCTTCATCCCTGGGAATCCACTGAGGAGCAGGCTCGCGAGATCTTCCATTGCTTCTTGCCCAACAAGGCCTCGGTCGTCATCGCTGCTCGGCTTATGAATGCATCCTCAAGCTTGCTTGGCTTTCGTGCGCATGTCATGTTCGCTTCCAAACGTGAGAAAAGGACTACTTTGCCGGTCTGGTCTCCGCAGTGGCCTGTGCACGTGACAAGATCCGCTACGTCGGATTCGTCAAGAACCAGACGTCACTGTGCGTGTTGTCGGAGATGATCCTGCTCAGGATTGTCCTTGAGATGGTGCAAGACCGTTCTGATGGCTTCAGGAGGGCCACCCGCCATCTGAGCAAGTCGCTAAGCCTGAGAGGTGAGTCGGCTCCTTCGGCAAGTTTCCACAGCCCTTTCTCGGCGGGCTCGCCAAAGTTGGAGAAGGAGGAGGATCAGGAACGTCTCTCTGATAGTGAGAAGTCTGGTGCCGCCGAAGACTGACGAGTAGCAGTCAGATAGTCGGGTCTGAGATTTCTGCGTTTGAAATAACAGACTGGTCTGTTCTAGTTCTCGGCCTGGGCATTTTGCAAGCCCAGCGTCGGATCATAACTCAGCCTTGCCGCAACAAGGGGACTGTCGTGGTTGTGCCTAGACTTAGAGTCCTCAAATATGCTAGGGTCTACTATGTTGTATGCTAGGGCTTACTGTGGTCTACGCTATAGGGTCTACGATGTTCTTCAAATGAAACGGCAGCTTCCAATTACTGGTGTTGCAGGCTCGGCACTACCCGAAACCGCTGCGTCATGCGGTAGTGGTAAGTGCAATATCTGAATTTTGGGCCAGCGCAGTGAAAATGCCATCCAAGCCGACCCTGTTGCACATGTCATGCGTGTGCCGATCAATCGTGATTTCTGTGAAGAGGCCTCCAGCTGCTGTGTTTCAGATGTCTAGGGAAGCTGCTTTGCACGTGTCATTGCCGCAGACCTAGAAGTGTTGCCGCCGATTTGGCTACAGCAGTGGAGGTCTGAACTCTGAAAGCTGTGCTGCCAATAGCAGCGGAAATCTTGGACTACGAATCTCTAAGATCTCTGAGGTGTCTTTACCAGATGCAACAACCGCTGGTCGCATCGCTTTAAAAACAGATAGTTCAGCGCTCCGTGTGTCACCATGCCATCTTCCAGCGGCCTTTGCTCTGGAATGCCGAAGGTCTTGAAAGACCTTCGCCTGGGCTCCATTGGGGTCACTTGGTCTAAAGCAACTTCGAAGCAACAGACTCCAGTGCCCCCAGTTTCAATCTCAGGTAAGAGCACCTCATGTGATTTACCGCGATGCGGTGGACGGTGGAGATGGCTACTCCATCAAGCTGAATTTCCCTTCAGCCGAGTTCTACCAGAGGCCATGGGGGGACCAAAAGGAGTTCTGGACGGTCTTCAGGAGTGAGCTGGTGGCTGCTGAATTCTTCTCGTCGGAAGAGGACCTGTCTGAAGCCGCATGTTCTGGCTGCCTTTGAAATTGTTTCGTGGCCTTTTTCAGGATCGCAGCTGCAAGGATTTCGCCGAGCTCCAGGCCGACATCAAGGCGGTCTACCTGCTCCCCCCGGCGCAAGAAATCGACTTCTTGCGGGCAGACCCTAAGCACCTCGAATGAGTCTGACAGTTGATCCGCTCTAATTCAAGTTCAATCTGCCGTGCTTTGTCTCCTTCGAAGGTACAAGCCGCTTCTTGACTGGATGGATGCTTGTGGCCAGAAAGCTCCGGCCCGGGTGAAGCCTGATGCCGTCGCGAAGGCGTGAAGCATTGGCGGACTTAAAAGTTGCAATAAATAGTCTTCTTTGAGTCGTGTTGAGGTACCAGGCAAGACCCAAGACCTTTGTACGGTTAAAAGGGCAGACGGACGGACAGACTTGGCAGAGAGAACGAGAGAGAGAAAGAGAGAAACAAACTGACGGACAAGCGGACAAAAGACAGACAGAGACGGGACAGGGAGAAGACAGACATGGACAGTGACAGACAGACCAACATTCGCAGGTCTACCGCCGTATACGCGGCAAGACTCCTTCCTGGGCGGCGCCTGTGCATGGGCGGTATGCTCGCAAAGTTGAGAAGACGATCCAGAAGGCGCAGCAGAGCAGGGAGCCCGCGAACGCCCGGAGCAAGTTTGCCGAGGTCTGCAAAAGCATGGTCGGAGACGGAGGTTTGACCTTGTCGAATGAGGCGATTTCTCTCTTGCAGGAGGCTGCCGAGGACATGGCGGTCTCTTACCTCCGGGCACTTCAAGGTGCTTCTTCGGCCAGGGGTGCGGTGGAGATAAAGCCCCGGGACGTGGCCACCGTTCGTGCAGTGCTACAGACTGCCGGGAGATGGCAGATGGCGTGATGGTCTCACTTAGTCTTAGACGTGAGACTTTTTAGGTCTCCAAAAAGAGACCTAGCAGTGCTCTAAGGTTTCAAGAAAGAGACCTAATGGGCAACAGCACTGCAGGGGTGCATCACAGATGCTTCTGTTGTACTCGGCACAGACGAGTCAATGGGGTCTCCTCTCGGGGCACAGTTCTGTTGGAGAATCGACAAAATGGACCCTGCGTTTGCCTGCATTCTTCTTGCGACGAGTGCTCTCAAGTTCATGGTCATACTGCGCTTGCCGCCAGGTCTCCTCAGCCCGGCCGTTGGGCATAGCAGCGACAAGGCTGGAGTTTCTGACTTGGGCTATGTGGTTACATGCAAGCCTGCTTCGGTCTCTTTAACACTGTGGCATACTACTAGTGATTATGTTGCCGCCCAGCAAATGCTTGACTTCTTACCAATGCATTATTTCCATCATCCTGCTTGTGTTGCTATGAATAATACTAGTATGACTAATCGCAATACTATCACCTAGTATAAATTATTACTATCACTATGGACCAAGCCATTTAAAGCTATTTTATCAAGAAAAGTGATCCTGGCTTAGGCCACCATTGACAGATGTGACACGTGAGCAACCATGAACTATTGCGACTATCTTTACTAGTACTATCGCCGTGGATCAAGCCATTTAGTGTTTTTGTTGCACAAAAAGTGATTCTGGCTTAGGCCACCATAGACTGCACTATCAAGAAATATTACTCCCAATACTACTAGTAGTATTATTTATGGGCTGCCGCCACTGCCGCCGACCCCAAAAGAAGAGAGGTGACTATCCAAGGAACGCAGCAGGTGTTGAAAGCAGCCAACTGCAAGTCTTGTAACTGGCACGAGTAGCATGAGCACATGACTGATGCGGCGAAGTATTCGGACTGACGCAGTGCTCAGCTCTCGGACATTGTGTGCGCATGTTTCAGCAACCTTGTGACTCAGAGGCAAAAGGCATCCGCACAAAACCGAGTTTAGCCGGAAGGCTGTATTCGATATGCTTAAGATACGGAGCCAGTGCAGTTGTGGCCATGGGATGGTACGACATGGTACGACAAAAAAGTCGCGCGCGCGCGGCGGCGCATCGCAAGGCCGGGGCGGGCAGTGAGGACAATAAAGGTAGTGTGGGCGGTGTGGGCGGTGGGGGCGCGGTGGGGTCCGGGCACACATTGGCAGCCTTTAAATACTTATTTTACTCTTTAAACACCTACAAATACAGCGGGCGGTGGGAACGGTGAAAGCGGTGGAGGGGGATGAAGGTGGTGGGGGTGGTGAGGGCGGTGAGGGCGGTGTGGGCGGTGTGGGCGGTGTGGGCGGTGGGGGCGCGGGGGGGTCCGGGCACACATTGGCAGCCTTTAAATACTCTTATATACTCTTTAAACACCTACAAATACAGCGGGCGGTGGGAACGGTGAAAGCGGTGGAGGGGGATGAAGGTGGTGGGGGTGGTGAGGGCGGTGAGGGCGGTGTGGGCGGTGTGGGCGGTGTGGGCGGTGAGGGCGCGGGGGATGGTCCGGGCACACATTGGCAGCCTTTAAATACTTATTTTACTCTTTAAACACCTACAAATACAGCGGGCGGTGGGACGGTGAAAGCGGTGGAGGGGGATGAAGGTGGTGGGGGTGGTGAGGGCGGTGAGGGCGGTGTGGGCGGTGGGGGCGGTGTGGGCGGTGGGGGCGCGGGGGGGTCCGGGCACACATTGGCAGCCTTTAAATCCTCTTTATTCTTTAAACACCTACAAATACAGCGGGCGGTGGAGACGGTGAGAACGGTGAAAGCGGTGGAGGGGGATAAAGGTGGTGGGGGTGGTGAGGACGGTGAGGGCGGTGTGGGCGGTGTGGGCGGTGGGGGCGAACGTGGAAAGCGGTGGATGAAGGTGGTGGGGGTGAGTGAGGGCGGTGGGCGGTGAGGGCGGCACACATGGCAGTACAGCGGGCGGTGTGGAGACGGTGGGAACGGTGAAAGCGGTGGAGGGGGATGAAGGTGGTGGGGGTGGTGAGGGCGGTGAGGGCGGTGTGGGCGGTGGGGGGGGTGGAATGCTCTTTACTCTTGAAACACCTACAAATAGAGCGGTGGAGACGGTGGGAACGGTGCAAGCGGTGGAGGGGGATGAAGGTGGTGGGGGTGGTGAGGGCGGTGAGGGCGGTGTGGGCGGTGGGGGCGGTGTGGGCGGTGTGGGCGGTGGGGGGCGGGGGGGTCCGGGCACACATTGGCAGCCTTTAAATACTCTTTACTCTTTAAACACCTACAAATACAGCGGGCGGTGAGAGCGGTGGAGACGGTGGGAACGGTGAAAGCGGTGGAGGGGGATGAAGGTGGTGGGGGTGGTGAGGGCGGTGAGGGCGGTGTGGGCGGTGGGGGCGGGTGGGCGGTGTGGGCGGTGGGGGCGCGGGGGGGTCCGGGCACACATTGGCAGCCTTTAAATACTCTTATATGGAGACGGTGGGAACGGTGAAAGCGGTGGAGGGGGATGAAGGTGGTGGGGGTGGTGAGGGCGGTGAGGGCGGTGTGGGCGGTGGGGGCGGCGGTGGGCGGTGGGCGGTGGGGGAGCGGTGGGGTCCGGGCACACATTGGCAGCCTTTAAATACTCTTTATACTCTTTAAACACCTACAAATACAGCGGGCGGTGGGAACGGTGAAAGCGGTGGAGGGGGATGAAGGTGGTGGGGGTGGTGAGGGCGGTGAGGGCGGTGTGGGCGGTGTGGGCGGTGTGGGCGGTGAGGGCGCGGGGGGGTCCGGGCACACATTGGCAGTACAGCCTGGGAACGGTGAAAGCGGTAGGTGGTGGGGGTGGTGAGGCGGTGACGGTGTAGGTGTGGGCTGAGGGCGCGGGGGGTCCGGGCACACATTGGCAGCCTTTAAATACTTATTTTACTCTTTAAACACCTACAAATACAGCGGGCGGTGGGAACGGTGAAAGCGGTGGAGGGGGATGAAGGTGGTGGGGGTGGTGAGGGCGGTGAGGGCGGTGTGGGCGGTGGGGGCGGTGTGGGCGGTGGGGGCGCGGGGGGGTCCGGGCACACATTGGCAGCCTTTAAATCCTCTTTATTCTTTAAACACCTACAAATACAGCGGGCGGTGGAGACGGTGAGAACGGTGAAAGCGGTGGAGGGGGATAAAGGTGGTGGGGGTGGTGAGGAGGGCGGTGTGGGCGGTGTGGGCGGTGGGGGCGAACGTGGAAAGCGGTGGATGAAGGTGGTGGGGGTGGTGAGGGCGGTGAGGGCGGTGTGGGCAGTGGGGGCGGTGTGGGCGGTGGGGGCGCGGGGGGGTCCGGGCACACATTGGCAGCCTTTAATTTCTCTTTACTCTTTAAACACCTACAAATACAGCGGGCGGTGAGAGCGGTGGAGACGGTGGGAACGGTGAAAGCGGTGGAGGGGGATGAAGGTGGTGGGGGTGGTGAGGGCGGTGAGGGCGGTGTGGGCGGTGGGGGGGGTGAAATGCTCTTTACTCTTGAAACACCTACAAATAGAGCGGTGGAGACGGTGGGAACGGTGCAAGCGGTGGAGGGGGATGAAGGTGGTGGGGGTGGTGAGGGCGGTGAGGGCGGTGTGGGCGGTGGGGGCGGTGTGGGCGGTGTGGGCGGTGGGGGCGCGGGGGGGTCCGGGCACACATTGGCAGCCTTTAAATACTCTTATACTCTTTAAACACCTACAAATACAGCGGGCGGTGAGAGCGGTGGAGACGGTGGGAACGGTGAAAGCGGTGGAGGGGGATGAAGGTGGTGGGGGTGGTGAGGGCGGTGAGGGCGGTGTGGGCGGTGTGGGCGGTGTGGGCGGTGAGGGCGCGGGGGGGTCCGGGCACACATTGGCAGCCTTTAAATACTTTTTTTACTCTTTAAACACCTACAAATACAGCGGGCGGGCGGTGAGAGAAGCGGTGGAGGGGGATGAAGGTGGTGGGGGTGGTGAGGGCGGTGAGGGCGGTGTGGGCGGTGGGGGCGGTGTGGGCGGTGGGGGCGCGGGGGGGTCCGGGCACACATTGGCAGCCTTTAAATACTTTTTAAAAGGGCGGCGGTGGCGGTAGGGGCGGTGTGGGCGCGGAGGGGTCTGGGCACACATTGGCAGCCTTTAAATACTCTTATATACTCTTTAAACACCTACAGATACAGCGGTGAAGGACTCTTTAAACAGAGCGGTGGTGGAGGTTGTGAGGGCGGTGGGGGCACTGGGGGCGCGGAGAGGTCCGGGCACACATTGGCAGCCTTTACATACTCTTTAAACACCTATAACAGCGGTGAAAGACTCTTTTAACAGAGCGGTGGAGGCGGTGGAAGCGGTGTGGGTGCGGACACCTCTCGGGATATCACGGGCGCCGCCCGCAGGGGTCGGCGGATAAATTAAAACTATTACTATTACTATTATTTTTACTAGTCTTATTAAAACTAGCGCCAGCCAAGCCAGGGATTTACCATTACTCTTATGAATATAGCATTACTATTGCCAGTACTACTACTATTGCTGCTGTTATCACCATGGACCAAGCCATTCAAAGTTTTTTTAAACAGAAAAGTGATTCTGGCTTAGGCCACCATAGACAATACTTTTGCTAAAGATTACTACGTTTGCTATTAGTATTACTATTGCTTTTGGAATTACGAATCATTATTGCTTAATACGACTGTTAATACCATTGCTACTATCAATATTATTATTGCTAACTAGACCAGAGAATTTCTGTCATTATTATTAGTAATAGGATTACTAATGCCAGTACTATCACTCTGGGCCAAGCCATTGAGTGTTTTTCTTACCAGGAAAAGTGATTCTGGCTTAGGCCACCATCGACAGTACTATCAATATATACTACTACCGTTGCTGCTACTATTATTGTTACTGTCAATATGTCTATTACTCTTGCTAGTATTAGTCTTATTCCTATTTCTATTGAATATTAGTATTTCCAACCAAGCCAGGGATTCTCGTTATTACTATTATGAATAATAAATAGTACTACTAATAACAGTGCTATTACTACTATTGCTGTTCCTATCATTGGCAAGCCATTTAATGTTTTTTTACTAGGAAAAGTGATTCTGGCTTAGGCCACCACAGACTATACTATGACTATGGCTATTACTATTACTAATGACTATAAATATGATTACCAGTACCAAACAAGCCAGAACCACTTTTTCTTCGGGAGAAAAGCGCAAATGGCCTGCGTGGTTGTTGCGCCAGGTCTTTGGATCATGACCTTGGCTACGGGAGGCTCGGTGCTGCGATTACTTCTGCCAGCAACAAATGAGCTTTAAGTCTGCGATTGTTCATTTCCTTCGTGCTTGGTCGGGTGCCTTCGCGTTGCAATTGGTGCTGTTGTGTTCATTCTCAAGAGGTCCCCGGCAGCAGTTACTTTGGGAACTGCGGCAACTGAGCTTTTGGCAAAGGGTTACTACTAATTTAGACGAGTGCAAATGTCAGATTTGCCTTCATACTTCCATAGTTTTTTCCTAGCCTCATCGGTCATATAGGGCCGCCATGGTCGAAGAAGCCCTTCTTCCGCCCCCAGCGGTCTTTGCCAGAGACGACCCTTTTGGTGTTCCGGTGCAGATACAAAGGAACATCAGCGCAATCAGAATAAGTTGGTTCTGTTTTGGGTAGGGGTTGGGTAATCGAACAATGGGACATGTTTATGCTGTTGCTGAAGGCCCCAGCCTGGTCCAGACGGTCGCGAGTACGACCGTGACCTTGAGCACTGGCAATCTTGCGGCAAATCGTCATGTGCACGCTGCTTTTTCGAGATGGGGTATGCAGGCCGCTTGAGAAAAGGCCAAAAAACAGCCGCGAGCCCGGACGAGACGAAGGCATGGTCAAAAAGGTTTTGCTTCCATCACCCCACCCTCGGTAGCCGGACGTGGTTGTGTGTACGACCGCACTCCTGGTCTCACTGGGCTGCCGGGTGTTGGGTTTGCTCCCATTTCCCGCCAGTGAAGTATCCGTCGTCATTCAGCCGCTTAGAAGTGTCGACGGCAGCAGCGATTCAGCCATCGCACTTCAAGACTCACGAGACCTCAAAAGGGCATCTGGATGCGATGAGACAGATGGTGAAGGCTCTCACTCCAGGGTCTTCCGATACGCCGGTCGCCAGTGAGCCAGATGATGTGCCAAGGCTGGACAGATTTCACCTCGCGGGCCTCATCGTGAGTCGTCACGACACCTACCGTGACTATGAAGCTTACGCCAGGTCTCTCAGGGTCTCCAGCATTTTTGGTGACACTGGCGATGTCTCTCGTCGGGTCTGCCAACAAATGCTGCTTTGCTTGGCTGAACCACTGCAGATACAGGACCAAGCTGTCATTGCTAAGGCCGGTCTCCGGGGTCTAGTTTTCGAATTTCGGTCAACAGTCTCAGTGTTTGCAAACCTCAAACTCTGCAGAGGCCACGGCTGGATCTTTGACACTGGACGTACGAGATGGTCTCCTTTTAGTCATCGCCCGCTGGTATTACCGTGACTTGCAGCAGAACGATTTTCTGCCAAGTTCAGGTGTCTACGAGCACCTGCTGGGGGCCATGAGAGAGCAGCCAGGCGGTGGCGCACGTGCTTCAGCCCAGGCCGTCCGCCACATCTGCAGACAGGCGGCCACTCGGAGGCATGGGCGACGTGGTCCCAACTCCTGCTATGGTGAAGGAGATGTCTGCGACGAGGATTTGTACCGCAAGATGCAGGCACAGCAGGAGAAATAGAATTTTAAATTTTGCACTCATCATATATGTTGGTCTAACTTTGAAATCTAGCATCTACAATTTTGCTGTTATTGCCTGTCAGTCTGTGGTCTTCTCCATCCTGGCAGACGGGGGTCCAACCGAGCAGTCTGCTCTTCCGCACCTTGTGGAAGAGTTCCCCAATGTTACTCTGAGCTGGCGGGATAGGTGCCATCGCACTCGCTCGGTCATGAAGTCCATCTGGCAGCCGCTGAATGACCGGTGTGGAGGTCTACTGGGCCAGCTGGTTACCGACGAGAAAAGCTTTGCACGCATGATGAAGTGCCCTGGGCGAGTTTCAGTATCAGCCGTAGTTTTTTCGCAAACCAATTTCCGGCGAAGCATGCATGTTCCCTTTGCCCGCAAAGCAAAACAACCATGAGCATTCCAGGAGTTCGGTCAAGTACTCTGGTCTCTTCAAAGAGGCGCAGAAGGAAGCCAGTGATTGGTCCAGAGCGGTGAAAAGCCTGAGCTTCGCAATGCAAAGATTTGACTCGTTGACGACTCCTCTGTTTCGGGTCATCACTCTGTTTCCGTCGGTACTGAGATTCCTTTGCAATATGACCAGAGCAGATGTGGGGGACAGTGAGGACCGTGTGTGGTCTCGCAGATACCTGGAGGCCTTCACCAGCAGATCCAAGCAGGGCGGTCTGAACTTGGCCAAAGCTGCCTTGGTGGGCGATGCCCTTTTGGTCTTGCAGAGGTTCCTGCGGCTGGACGACCATGCCGAGAGTGATGTGCTGCTTAAAGCCCGCGAGGCACGAAGTTGACACGACAAACTCTAGGTGTTTGTGTCGCCTGTGTGTCCATGTAGAGGGGTTTGTTGCAGGCAATGGAAACCAAGCAGACTTTGAAGCTTTTGTTCAAGGAGGACGGCATCTTCCACGCAGCCGCAGGTGACACACTCCTGCAGAAAGCAGTGGCAGGTCTCAATGCCTTGGGACCGCTGCGCTGGCACGAGGGTTCACGGGAAATCGTCGCATCCGTGGAGCACCCAGACATGAACGTGCTCAAAGATTTTTCCAGGTCTTTGTATGACCTGATGTCTGCCAGCTTCGAGGCCTTCTTCCCCAACCACGACCACGTCAATGCGTTCGCAGCTCTTGACCTGGAGGCAGGTCTCACATGGCCCGAACGACAAAGTCTGGTTGAGGTCTTAGCCTCCCACGAAAAAGTTTGCAAAGCGCAGCTGTGGCCACTTGTTGTGTCGAGCAAAGCTTTGGTCCACACATTGTCGTTTCAATATAACTCCACTTTCAAGTCGTTGCTAGCCGCTGTTAGTCCGAGACATACAACTCAGGCTGCAGCTGGCTGGGTCTGACAGCGACAACGGGCCCAAGCTCGGCCTGTTTGCAAGAGCTTTCTATTACTTCGAAAACCCTGCCAAGATGGATGGACAAGGTGCCCTCACAAAGCGGCGACCCGAACGCTCTGTTGCGGAGGTTGGCCGATCCCGCGCTGCTTGGCTCAAAGTCTTGGCCGAGCTGAAGCCAGAGCAAAGAGCCAGAAGGTCTCTGGCGGTCTCTCTTCTGGAAAAGTCTTTGGCCTTGCAGAGCGGGACACAGTCGGTCGAGAGATTCCTTGGGGAGGCTGCTCTGGCCGAGAACCAATACCGTGCTCAACATTTAACGGATTGGAACCTGCAAGCTGCGATCAAGCTCAATGTCCAAAGCTTGAGAGGGTCTCGCAAGCCCAAGGCTTTCAACCCGGACGAGCTGTTCGAGGGGCCTCTTGACACCGTGCGGTTTCGAACTTCGATGTCTTTCAAGGCCTCGAAATACGGTGTTGCAGTCCAGAACTCCTACAGAGACTTCTTCGGCGAGAAAAAGCTTCCCCACCGATCCCTGGATCCTTCGAAGGCGCAACGCGAGCAGTCAGACAAGCCTGGTCTGGGGAACATAAAACGGGAGTCTGCGAAGCGAAGCCTGGAGAAGGAGATGCGGTTGCACAGCAGATCCGTTTCTGCAGCGGTGGAGAGTGCAGCACGAGAACAACCCTCCGCATCCAGGTCTTCCAGCTCGTGGGAGCCAATGGTCCAGGAGATGGCTGAGGTGGCTGCAGCACGTGAAAAGCGGTCTCTCCGGAGTGACGATGCCGTGCCGTCTCAGGCAAAGCGGCAAAAAGTCCAGGAGGATGACGCTGATACCTTCGAAACTGCCCTTCGTCGCAGCCGCTTTCTGACGGAGAAGAAGAAAGCAGTGGTGAGTGAGACTCCCGCTGGCAGCCTGGTACCATATGTAGATTCCAAAGGAGGAGTTTACCAGAAAAAGCTGCTTGTGCCAGCTCCTACGGCTCCTACGGCGCCGGTCTTGCCCCAGATGATCAAGGTCTCTGCTGCTCCTGCTGCTAGCAAAGCTGTGCCAATCTGGCGGGGCTATTGCCTCGCAACTTCGGTGTCGGAGGCTGATGTGGTTTTGCTGCCAAATGCTGGTCAGGACCTTTACTCACCGACGGCCTTGGAAGCCCGCTTGTGGGGCAAGCGAGTGGTGGACCGGCAATGGCTGAAAAGCAAGATGACTGAGGGTCTTTGCATCTCTTTTGAAGCGGCTTTGGAGAGGCATTTGTACTTTCATCTGCATGAGACGTTTCGCCATGACTACCCGGAGCACACTGAGGCATTAGTGAGCTCTGTCAAGGCCTTTAAGCGGAAGGGTCGCAAAAAATGCCTGGTGGTGGAGCCCGGAGACATGCCAACCGAGCCTAAACACCCACGGCTGACCTATCAGCTGGTCTCCCTGAAAGAGCAAGACCGGATAGCTGCTGAGTCTACAGATGGCAAGGTCTCGCAGACTTTGAATCTGGAGCAATGCATCAACCTGTTGACGGTTGTGCAGAAAGTGTAGCAGGCACTTTCACTGGTCTTGGTTTGGATAGTGGGGTCTGACATTGCACGTCTAACTATCTACCAAGCATTTAATCATGGCTCCAAAGACCAGTGCGTGCTTGAGATATGTAGCTTTCATGTCACGCCTTGCGCAACAAAAAAGATGCACAGCAGAAGTCCCCATGTGTCGCATTGCCCACATGCTACTAGGGAACATGAGCGCTGTTCTGACCTGGCAGGCTGGCGGTGCTGGTCCGCGACTGGCTTGTCAGAAGATGGAAAAAGAGAGTTATGCAGAGTGAAGCTTTATATGTTGTAACCCGAGGTCAAAAACTAAAGTTTTTGCTAGGGGCCCAAGAACCTCCAAGTATATATATATATATATATATACGTATATATATACACGTAGAGGGAGAGAGAGAGGGAGTTGCAAACATATCTACATACATACATACATACCTACATACATCCTACAAACATACGGCATTTCAGACGGACGGAGAGGCAGCCAGACAGACATTCACATATCTATACACTTTGCGGCAGCACACATATGCATCTAGGCATGAATGTATGCACACTATTTCAGTGTATATGTGCATATACCTGGCGAGGCATATACCTTAATGCAGGCATGCCTGACTACTGACAGCTGCATACCAGGCTAGGAATCTTCGCACTTCCACCATGAACTCGAACATGCAGTTGCAAGCATCCTTTGAGCTCTTTCAGACCCGAGCCCCCAAGCCCAGGTCCCTCGAGAAGTGCGGGCCGCAGCTCCTTCGCCAGGGCTCTGGGGCCTGTCCGGAAAGCTGGCGCAGGCGCCTGCTTTCTGAAGGAGGATTTCTAGGACCCAGAGTAATTATAGGCCCTTATTCCCATTTTTAAGGTTTAGGTTCGAGGTTACTCTTGGGTCTACATTTCTGTTGCGGTTCAAGCTTGTGGCTTTCAAGTCTCAGGATAGACGGGCTCCGGGCTTTCAGTTGCGGTCTCGGCGTTTAAGCTTGGAGAATTCAGGGGTTTTGGGCCTGGATCTTGGACAGGGTGTTCGCGAGAAGTCCATGCCTTCACAGTCGATCCACTGAGGTTTGCGAAGGCTGCCTTCTTAGTCTTTGTGTCTTTCCCTTCGAATTAGGACTGGTCCCATTCCCTGCCAAAACGGGAAGGGGGCAACACCAAACCAGCATATCACCAAACCCATGCGGGAACCCCCTGAACTTACAACCATCCTCTTTTTGGGAAGCTCCCCTTCTATAACTGCCAGTGCTCTCAGGTGCTTGCGCTGCTGGACGCCTCGAGCCTGGAGGAAGGGCTCCGGCGGCTGCGTGCAGAATGCGAAGACTTGAAGGCATAGGGGAGGTGCATGTATGATATAAATGTATATATATATATATATATATATGGCTGTTTCCAAAAATGAGGGTCTCGAAGCTTTAGATAGGAAGCACGTTGGACCGTGCGCGAAACATACCCTCAAGCATACCCCCGAAGCATACCGCGAAGCATACCCCTGAAGCATACCCCCGAAGCATACCCCGTCCAAAGCTGACTAAAAGCAGCTTATTGCAAGCGTGCTTGGTTGTCAATTTCTATGCACAGCTGTCTAGGCTGCAGCATGGGTTTCTTCATATGGGAGGAGGAAAGGTTGCAGGTCCAGACCAGGAGGTGGCTAACTTGCTAGTCGTAGTAGCAGTAGTACCAGTAGTAGGAGCAGTAGTAGCAGTAGTAGGAGCAGCAGTAGCAGCAGCAGCAGGCGTAGCAGTCGCAGTGGGGGCAGCAGCAGGAGTCGGAGTAGCAGTAGCAGTAGCAGTAGCAGTGGCAGTAGCAGTAGCAGTGGGAGTGGCAGTGGCAGTAGCAGTAGCAGTAGCAGTACTCCTTCTCCTACTCCTACTCCTACTCCTACTCATACTCCGACTCCGACTGCTACTGCTACTGCTACTCCTACTCCTACTCCTACTCCTACTCCTACTCCTACTCCTCCTACTCCTACTGCTACTGCTACTGCTACTGCTCCTGCTCCTGCTCCTGCTCCTGCTCCTGCTCCTGCTCCTGCTGCTGCTGCTGCTGCTGCTACTGCTACTGCTAGGAGTAGGAGTAGGAGTAGGAGTAGGAGTAGTAGCAGTGTCAGTGGTAGCACTAGCAGTAGCAGTAGTTGCAGTAGTGGCAATGTAGCCGTTGCTATTGCCCGAACTGCTACACTTGTGCTTGCTGCTGCTGCTGCTGCTGCTACTGCTACTGCTACTGCTACTGCTGCTGCTGCTGCTGCTGCTGCTGCTACTGCTACTGCTACTGCTACTGCTACTGCTACTGCTACTGCTACTGCTACTGCTACTGCTACTGCTACTGCTACGGCTGCTGCGGCTGTTGTTGCTACTGGTGCGACTATTCTACGACTATTATCAGTAGGTCCTAGTAGTAGCAGTACTAGTAGTATTACGGTTGATGGACAAATCCTGCACTACCCGTAATAAGGAATATACCACAAATTCCATATTGTTAATAATAGGGTTCTGAAGGTCATGCAGGATTTGTCCATCAGCAGCAGTACTACCAGTACTACTATTACCAGCACCAGTACTAACCACTAGTGCTGGAGTTCCAAGCGAGACCGAAGACAAAAGTCAAAATCCTGAAACTATATGGCCCGCGATGCATACCCGAAAGCATACCTGATTCATACCCGATGCATACCCCCAACTTGGCTGGGCTACGTAATGGCCCATTCTGGGTTTAGGGTTGCGGATTTCAGGTCTTTCAGGTTAAAGGCATCCCAAAGGCTGCAGGCTCTAGGCCCGACCCTGGATCCAACAAGAACAGTCTTCCAAAAGAGACCATAATTATTACTTTAACTGATCTATCATATTGATAAGAGCTTACGGTAGAGTTAGATACCCCCACAACAGGACGCGAAGCATACCGCGAAGCATACCCCTGAAGCATACCCCCAAGCATACCCCCGAAGCATACCCCCTATCCCAACATGCCTGCTTGGACGCCGGTTTGACGGAAACACCCATATACATATGTACAGACACACACACACACACATACATACATACATACATACATACATATATATATATATATATATATACATACAAACATACATATATACATACATGCGCATGCATGCTGTAGTCTGCCTCCAGACACCACTCTAGCAGCGCATGCTCCGATACATTGGTTTCCACCCAGATCTTCTGACATCGAAGCCGATTCTGCAGGGCTTTGGTGCAGGTTCATAATGGCCAGACCTGCGGAATGGTGCCTCGTTCTAACCACACTAGCCGACAAATATCCGAAATTTGGAGATGCACTTGTGGAGTTGTCAAGGCTCAGCTTGGGCCTAGGGCTCAGAAGGGTCCCTTTAAGGGATCTATAGGGTTTTTAAATTTTAGGGTTTAGGGTTTAGGTTCCTAAACAGTACCCTTAGTATTATAGAGTGGTGATGGTATCACGCCAACGCCAGAAGTCTTGGCATTTGGGGACAGGCTGGCCTGCCCTCCCGGCCCGGGTTGCAAGTGGCTTGGCAATTTTCATGGACGAGTGGAAGTGCATGCTCCTAGCAAAGGTTGGTGTTTTGGCTACCAGAAAGCCCAGGATAGTTTCTACGGCTAGGAGAAGACTTGGGTTTTGGGTTAGCTACAACATTGTTGAATCTGTTTTACTGAGTTTGTGTCCAGGGTCAGTGTGAATAAGCGATATGCAGGAGAACAAACTATCTGGTAGATTTAATTCTGTGATCTCTACCTCGTCCAGTTCAGCATATAGCCACGACACATTCACCGGGGTCCTCAGCCGCGAGTTTTTTTGATCGCGCGGTTCGGAACTACTTCCCTGGTGACGTTCTTGCTCGGCGAGATCCGCCATGGCTCTTATAACTGCGCTGTTACATTGGAGGGAACCTTCACGACAGAATGTTCTCCGACCCCGAGGTTACAAGCCTTACCCGTCAAGCATGTGCCGCTCAAACCATGACACCAAGGAGACAGTGAACCCAGTGGACTTGGAGTTTGCAGACATCCACCTGCGAAAGCAGCATCTTGTTCGGTTTTCAATGGTTTGGCACTTAGGATAGAACCGAGATCGTTTGTTGGCGCTGCTGTCGTGGCGTCTTGGGTGCTCACCTCTTGGCCAATACTGTTTTATTGGAAAACGGCATGGGAGGGTCACGATAGCTTTGCCTCCTTTCGGATACAGGTGTGTGCTCCTTGTTTCTCGTGCCAAACTTGATACGGAAGTACATGGCCCTCTTGACAGCCAGGCAACGCTAGGCCCGACCTCCTTGCTTCTGACTTTTCTTCGTGAGCAGATGCAAGGTATGCGGCAGCTGAAAGCAAGGCCTGCGGCTACAGGGGCAATAGCACGCATGAGATTCACGAGATTACTGCAAACCATGTTTCTGTTCCCGTTTCATAGAGCCCGGAATAGCAAGAGCTTTGCAACTCCTCGGCTGGCTTCCGGGCAGTCCTTTTATCGTTGCTTGCAGTTTTGGCAAGTGCTTATGCATTCTCTTCTTAAGTTAGTTTGTGATTTTTCAATGCGACAGATCCAGTTATTCAGCAGTAGCAGCTTCAGGATGTGTCAAAACGCGATCTTCGATGCTTCTGACAGGTCATGAGCCGATCCCCAAAAGAACAGAGATTCATGCGAAATCTCTACCTCGGTTCTTTCAGCTGAGAAGCCTACGAAGTTGTACAAGAGCCGGAAGCTTCATGCACAAAGCGTATATAATATAGCCGTGACGACCAAGCCACAAGCCTCCCAGGTGGCTCAGCTACAAGATGCCGTGGCCTTTCTGACGCAACGTACCTTGAACGCATAACCTGCCATCTTGTCTGTCTTGCGGGTTCCCTGCATCTAGAAGGCCCCCTGCGCCGTGGAATCGAATCTGTGCAGTTTCCCATTTACCCTAAGGCCCCAAAGTAGTTCCTTTTTGGGGTTCATTAAGGTAGCCCCAAAGAGGAACTACTATGGGGCCTTAGGGTAGAGTAGTAGCCAGGCTCCATTCAGGAAGGCCAAACGTCCATGCATGTCGCCCTGGAGGCGCTGCAATTGGAGCCGCTGAAGCAAAGGCTGGCAAGGCTCATGACATGCTGAAAAAGGCCGGGCGTCCGGGCTGCCCATGTTGTTCGGTGTGAGTCCGCGTGCATGGTTGTTTCATGCGGGAAGATTGGCCTAGAAGAAATGTCCCAGGGGACTGTTCGATAGACTGCAGCACGACAATATGCATATACGTATGCACCTATGTAAACTTAAATATGCATTCATGCATGCGTGCATGCATCATGCTAACGCATGTATGCTGCTTGCACGTATCTGTACGCGGATGCATGTACACCGGCATCTCCTGCGATCGCGGATTTCTGGCAAATTGGACCATTCCCCCCATTCCCGTTTGAGCTTGTCAGAAATGCTTGTGTGCCCATTCCCCGGCATGTCTCCTCGAGCATTGTTGGCCAGGATCTTCATCGTTACGAGGCCCGGTCGTTGGAGTTCTGAGGCAGTTCTCGAGATTTTCTGGATCCAGATCTGTCTCCACCTCGCCCTCCATAGGCATTTCAAAGACCTGCTGCCAGGAAACTATGTATACCGGGATCTTCCTCCCCAGACACGCCAGGACCCTAACAAAAGACCCGGAAGCCTGTGAGGATCTGGAGCAGCGATTGCGGCACGTGCAGGACAAGCCTGGGCCTCACTTTGGGTTCCAAGCTTTCGTGGTTTCGGGTTTTGCGTCTGGGTGAGTTTGAGGCTGCACGGGTGTACGGGCTCCTTGGCATGTTGAGCACTTCTTTTCAGTGGTCCGGGTCAGTTATTTGAATCGACTTGCTGCACGATGCAGTCTGTGGATCCTGGTCCTTGAACCCAAGTTGTGAACCTTTTCGGAAGGAGGGTGCATGGTCTCGAGATTCTGATGAGGGCATGGTCGGAGCTGAGTGGCCGCAACATGTTGTCCATGCTGTCCTTTTCTGGGCTTGTTGCTCCTGAGTCCATGTGTAGCAGGATGTGCCAGCGTCCTTCCAGAGAAGTCTTCCAGCCACATCCCAGCCTTTGACAGAGGTCCAAGCTGAGCGAGCTGGAAATGCTGATGCAGGGCATCGAGACCGAGCAGGCGCGGCGTTTATGCCAGTGGTTTCAGCCTTGATGACATACTACCTTGGCAGCAGCAAGGGTTGGAAGGCACAACAGAGTGAAGTTGCACTTCGCAGTGCTTCTTGGCCGTCTTCTACGTTTCTTTGTTATAGTTGGCTCTTGGTGAACCATTGGAACTCGAGTTTCGGACCGAAGCTGCTCCCGCTTGTAGTTGTTTCCACAGAAGGACATATCTGATCTAAGTGGATGTGTGTGGTCATTGCGACCTCCGCCCCGGTGGCTGTGTGTGTGTGTGTCCTACAAGCAGCCTTCTCCTCCAAAACCCTAAACTCTAAACCCTCCAAAAATTGAGCAGACATAAAAAGGAGCTCAAAAACAACTCTAAACCCTAAACCTAAACCCTGTACAGGCAGACAAACGCGCGGGTAGGCATTGCCTCACACACATTCTACCTCTCAGGAGGCTTTGCATGGCCATCTGGAGGCCAGCCAAGCACGAGCCGTGAACCTGGAGAGCCAGGCCAGTTCAGTCGAAGGAGAGATGTGTTTGTTCTGGCTTGTGGAGACCATGGTGTCGCCTGTGTTGTTTCATGTTCTTGTTGCCGAGGTCGTCGTTGTAGTGAGGTGGTGCTGGTGATGGTCGTCGTCAACCTCGTTGTCGTCTGGTCGTTGTCGTCGTCTTCGCGGTAGAAGGTAGGTAGGCTGGTAGGCCGGCTGGCAGGAGGAGGCCGGCAGGCCGGCAGGCAGGCAGATAACCAGGTTGGTAGTTGGTCAGTTAGTAGATGTTAGCTATGGGTTGGCTGGTTGGTTGGTTGGTTGGTTGGTTGGTTACTAGGTTACAGTACAAAGTCACTAGGTTACTCAGTTACTTAGTTACCTAGCTAGTTAGTCCGTTCAATAGTTAGTCACTGTTTGGGAGGCGAGGTGGGCAAGTGGTTAGGTAGTTAGAGAGTCAGTCAGTCAGTTCGTTGGTTAGTTGGTTATGGCGATGGGAGTGACTGGTAGTAGTAGTCGTCGTCGTAGCAGCAGTGGCAGCAGCAGTGGCAGCAGCAGTGGCAGTAGCAGTAGCAGTAGCAGTCGGAGTAGCAGTAGCAATAGGAATAGATGAGAAGGACGAGTAGGAGTAGTAGAAGTAGTAGAACTAACACTGAGTCTTTAAGTTGTTCTGTCAGAGGCCGTGCAAGAGGAGATCGAGAACCGCCGTCTTCGAAGCGAGATGCTTGCTTCACAGCCGCACGGCGCATCCGCTGTTTGCGTTCACGTTTTTGTGACGCTTCCTTTCGTTTCATCTCCGATCCATATGCGAACACGCCAGCAGCACCACACCCTCGTGCAGATAATCTTGTCCAGATGGCAGCTCTGAGCAGGCCATATTGAGCACAGTCGACAATGATTGTTGAGAAGGGACTTTGTGTTTGTGTTGTGGTGGCCTGGGATGCACGCCTGGATTGCTGACATGCCAGGGTGTAGGTAAGACTTCCGGTAGATCCAATGACGGTACATCCTGCAAGTATGCTGTGCTGGCAGATTCTCTCGATCCGTCGCTGTTTGAGACCAGATTCTGCTCGGTATCTAGACCACAATGATCGAGCTAGGGCCATTAACCTCACACGGCAACATTAGCCGAACGAAACGGCGACATCAGGCAGTACCCTTGAACCTGACTACCTAGGACGCAGGCTGAGAAGCTCCAGCGCCAGGCTCAACGCCACTTCGCCAAAGTTATGTGTCAACCCGATGTGCATGCTGGCTGTAGGCTAACCATAGGCCCCAAAGTAGTTCCTTTTGGGGATTACCCTATAGGATTCTATATACGAACCCCAAAAAGGGAACTACTTTGGGGCCTATAGGTAACCCAGCACCCAACGCAGTCAACGCTCGGACTGCCATGTTGAGGTTCACACAGGTCCCGATGGCTCGGGGACAGATCCCACACATCTTGACACCGAATACCCTGAGCAATCCTCAGCCTCTTCCAAACCTGCAGGCAAGGGTTCGGGAGTGGAGGGCGAGCTGCAACTTTAGCTCCAGCATTGTAGGTGCGAATGGTTTGTTGGTGGATTGCCTGCGGTGTTTTTGGTCCAGGCACAGTAAGAACATGATGAGTTATATCGAGCTAAGCGGACACCATGCTGAGACTGCCATCTGTTTTTTCCACTACCTTTTACAGTGCTACTTTCAACATAATAACGTTCTGCTCCGTGAGAGTGCTTAGTTCGTTTGATGCTGATTCGCTAGCATGCATGCAGCCATCGCGCCCGGTGAACTTGCGAGCATTCTGGGCAAGCTGAATGCGACGATTCAGCTGTCCGAAGAGTACAAAAACCGAACCGAGGAACTGATCAATCAGATCTTGGAGCAGCAGACGGGGTGGCAGGCACAGCATGAGTCCATTCTTGAGCAATATGCGGCCTTGCAAGAATGGACGAAGGATCGTGCGCAGCTGGAGGGGCCGGCTGCGGCTCTCCCATCGATCCCGCTTCAGAGATCTTGCCCCAGTGCTTCTTCAGCTTCAGCACCAAGACCTGCAGGCTCGGAGCAGATCGGTTTAGATGGTCCCCGTCGGGTATGGGACCGTGATTTCGGGCATGCCGATTTCGAGGACTCCGATTTCGAGGACTATGATCCTCCTGCAATTGAAATCGAGATTTCACAGCGGGTCATTGATGAATCGGTGGAGCTCTCAGAGGATGATGACGATGTCATGCTGGTGGCAGATACCCTCAATGACATTGAAACGGTGGAAGATGCGGCCATGCCGGAGCCGTATACACAGCCTGCTGCAGACACTCAGGCTTCACAAGAGCGCCTGCTGCAGCCTGACAAGCGCAGGAGCTACGGCAGGCGATGTGCACGGTACCAGCTCTCCGAGATGTGGCAGCGAAGTTCTGAGTTTGACTCCGCAGCTTTCTGCTCTGAGTCTGGCATGAGCACTGACGAGTTGCGACTACAGCTTCTGGCCGACCTCGAAAGAATCCCCGACAAAGAGTGGGAGAACCCGTCGAGAAAGAACGTCAGACCCACTGGACAAGCAAAGTGTTTGCAAAAAACGCTGGGCCTCGTCGTGGGTGCGCATTGGCGTGGAATACCTATGCCAACTACTGACACGTTCAAGTTTCGCAAGCTGACCGGGAACATCCTGAACTACGCGAGAAAGCTCGGAGTTGGGGAAGCTACATCCATTCAAGTCACTAAGAACCTGTGCTCAAAGCCGCACACCGATAAGAACAACAAGGGCCCAAGCTGGATCTTTGGTCTTGGAGATTGGACTGAAGGCGGCGAGACCTTCGTTCAAGATGACAGTGGGACTGAGGAGTACGAGTTGCAGGAAGACATACCCCACATCGGGGAGAAAAAAGGCAAGGTCTTGCGCGGATTCAAAAAAGACATCCACACTCTCCAGCAGTTTGATGGCACCAAAATCCACTGCACTGTCCCATTCGAAGGCACTCGCTATGCCATTATACTGTATGCCATCAACAACAGGTCCTATCACAAGACGCCCGCTCTCGCTCGTGCTCTGTTGATCCGTCTCGGGTTCAATCTCCCCCTGCACGAGTTCGAGGCAAGTATCCAAGCAGGGGATGAGGAACTTGTCGGGGCTGCCGTCGAGGGCAGGCCAGTGGCAGACGAGCCTGGACGTCACCCGCCGCCAACAGGTCGGTCTCGGCCGTCGAAGCGCCCGCGTCAGGAGGTTGGGCAAGCCGAAGTGGAGCCGGAGGAGCCGCCTGGGGCCAGGCCGGGACAACCTGCGATGGGCCTTCAGATCCATCGTTGCTTTCGCAGGCCCACCGAACCCGATGTGCAGGAGCAGTGGACACTGTCCGATGTGGAAGCATTGAAAGACATGAAATCACCCAAGCGCAAAGCAGCCTGGACGGTCATCGCAAAGAAACTTGGGAAGAACGAGGAGTCTGTGAAGCGGAAGTGGGAGGAACTGTGCCGTTCCTGAGTTCGCGATGTGTTCGCCAGCTGCAGCGAGTGGCACATTCCCCGAGTCGAGTAGTGAGTAGCACTTGAAAGCAGTTCAGCATGTCACTAGCACACCATCTTTAATTGCAAGCATGAGACGCGGTCTGAAAGAGCCGTGTGGCGGCGAAGCCATGGAAGAAAAGGTATGATGCATCGCGGATCGCTAACCATGCATTGGCATGTAGCGCAAGCAGGTTTTTCAGTGTTAGGCGGAGGATCACTGCTGCCACCCCTCAATGACACCGGTAATCCAGTAGATCGCAAGGTCTTGGGCTAACTCAGCTGCCACACGATACCCAGAGAACCCGATACCCCTTAATTAAGGAATATACAATATACCTTAAATAATAGGACCCTGAAAATTATGAGTTGACGAGGTACATTATTAATTCAGGGGTATTGGGATCTCTGGGTGCCCTGGCCCATCGCTCTGCGCACGTTGTTCGGGATTCCGCTTTATAGCCGCAGGTGTCTCTGTGGTATACCTTACACCTGTCAGTTGAACAAGGCCATAGCGTGTACAGATCTGCAGCAGTTTGTGTGAATGCCTGACAAATTAGCACTTGGTGCCATGTCCAGGAGTACAGGGGCTGTGGGCAGCGGGGACACGGGTTTCGAGTTTCATCGGAGTTTTAACCTAGGGGTGCCCTGAACCCTAAATCTGAAAGTCCCCGACCACGGAAGCCGAGGCTTGGACTTGGAGTTGTCGCAAGTCGGCTCTGACCGAAATGCGTGCTGAGCCTGAATTCGGGACGTTTTCTGTGCTTCAGGGCTTGGGAGGTTTAGAGCTTGGGGGGTTTCTTGCCCATAACAAACTCCAAGACTCGAAACCTCGCAATGGAACTCTCGAAGTCCAACCTCCTGGAGCACACGAGCTGCTAGCTCAGACGCTTATGCACAGCACCAACGAGAAGGAAAACGTACCGTTGCTGACGTATCGGATCTCTGTCTGTTGCGATATGGTCCAACTACCATGACTCGGAATTATAGATGTACTAGTCCAAAGATCACACTGGATCCCCCGAGTTTCCGTCCGCAGTGCTCATGGCGGTTGCAGAAGCCCCGCAACAGCCGCAACTAGCAGCAGCATCCTCTTGTGGAAGTTCTTTCCTGCATTGAATAGTCTTTTGCATCCGCACCAGATTGGAAGTGTACATGCGCGCAGAAGCGCATACTTGATTAAACATCTGTCGCTGGTAATTTCGTAGTATCGTTCGGAATGGCAAGCATGAGTAAGTTCTTCACAGCGTGGTCGTACATGAGGAAGATAACGTACAAAAGCCGTACGAAAAGGTTATCAATACTATGGCTGGTCTAGCAGAACTTGAGCAATAGAGCAGCGCCGGCCAACAGCCAACAACAGCATGAACACCCAGCAGCACAGCAGCTGCAGCCACAGCAATAGGATCAGCAAGACGAAATTCAGTAGAGACAGAGGCAACAAAGCAGGGACGGCAGCAGAACACCAACAGCAGCCAAATTTAAGTTCTCAAGTTGGCCGGGGAGCCATGGAAGCATAAACCCGAAACATCGCGAAACCCTAAACCCCTAGACACTCCCTTCACCGTGAGCATTTGCACAGGCTCGCCGCGGAGCTCCCAGCTGCGCGCCTGGAGCTTCGTGCCGAAGCAGCTGCGGCAGAGCGCAGCTCCGAGGCTGGGAGTGTTTCAGTTCCAGTTGGCGGATGGTTCCCTCGAAATATAGGGGAGTTCATAGTAAGAATAGGTTTTTGGGGCCCAATATACTGTAATTATATGATGAGGCACCCCCCAAAATAGTCTTGGCAATTATTTCGGCCCCTATATTAATGCTGATTGTTGTGATACATGATCACGGGCGCACATTGCCCGAGGAAGATTGGTCCACCACAATGCGACTAAAGTACCTCGCAGCACCTTGGGGCGGGGCGAGGCCGAGATCCACGTGCTCATGAAGCAGCTGCAGCAAGAGGCGACGAGCCAGTGCCTCAGTTTCTCTGGGCTTCGAAGGATGTGGAGGTTAGATTTTGGGTCGGGCCTTGTGGAGTCCTTGCGGAATCTGTGCAGCATCATCTGCTTTTTGCTTTGATGCCCTCCAACGTGCATGTCCTACGTCATCCTGTGCTGAATCCAAATCAGAGCTGTCCGAAACTAGCCCTCGTACTCGAACCTTGGCAACACGACCCCAGACTTGCGGAGTTCGAAACCCGCTTTCGAGGCTGGGATTGGTCGGATCTTTAAAAGGAACTTGCGCCACTGTCGGTGTGTTGTGGTGCGCTGGAAGCCAAACCTGCATCACGCACCAGTGGTTCTTCAAACACCGTCGTCAAGGCTATTCAAGAAGCCCTGCTATCCAAACAACCACTGCAAACTGCAAAGCTTGGTCTACTCTCATACCCTCTTGCTCAGCTGCTGCGTCATCGGCTGCATCCCTGGCAGGCCACGGCCGATATGTGAGTTGCCAGTTCGGCGTATGAGTAGAATGAAAGATAGCTTCGGCGTCAAACCTTTGCATATGTAAGGGCAAGCAACTGGGCTGGGAACTAGGAAGCTGAGCTCAAAGCCTTGTTGTGCTTTGCCTCGTCAACGCTGTGCTTCTCTCCGTAGCTGGTTTCAACTGTTCTCCTCGATCACCTGAAAATGAAAAATGATGTATGTACCTAGTCGGTTACCTAGTTTCGGCCAGGTAAGGAATCTGGATCAAAGACGAGCTGGCTCAGATATTACTCGGACTCGGACACCACTCTGGAACTGAGTCGATGCACCCTGTAAACTGTAACCTCCAAACCCCATGGCAGCCATGGCAGACTCCAACCTTAGCTCCGATTCCTGACGCTCGCTCTGTTCGAGGATCGAATCTGTCCCTCGAGCGAGCACGTCGCGAATTGCACGACCTCCGCCTCTCAGTCGCTATACGGGAGTCTTGGAGAGATCTGCTACGACCCCTGCTGCTGCTACTGCTCCTCCTCCTACTCTCCTCCACTAGTACCAGTACGAGTACCAGTACTACTAGTAGTGGTACTAGGAGTAGTAGCAGTAGCAGTAGCAGTAGGAGTAGCAGTAGGAGTAGTAGTAGTAGTAGTAGTAGCAGTAGTAGTAGTAGTAGTAGTAGTAGCAGCAGCAGCAGTAGTAGTAGTAGCAGTAGTGGTACTACTACTACGACTACGGCTACTACGACTACTACTACTACTACTACGACCACTGCTACTGCTGCTACTACTTCCACTACCACTACGAGGACTTCTGTGCTTGCTCGTATTCATGACTATATTGCCGCTTTTGCAGGATGTTCGTCAGTTTTTCAGTTTATCGCTCGAAAGAACAAAACACGAAGCGGAAGCTCGGCATGACAGGCAGCGAGCACCAGGTTGAGTTGGCCCAGTTTGCCAGTGCAAAGGCAGGGTGGTGCAGCTGTGAGGGTCACTGTGCGCAGGTCCAGCTATGCAGGGTTTAAAGCTTTCCTTCTGTATGTAGGGCTGTTTCAATGTTGTCATCCCCAAACCTCTTGCTGATCACCCCGACTTCCCGACTTTGTTGTTTCCTGTGTGCACACTGCGGATTTGCAAGTCCAGCCTCGCAGAACAATCTTCGCAGCAGTATCAGTATATGATCGTAGCTCATGATAGCACATGTAGAATTACAAATCCGAGCAGCAGAGCACTACCATCACGTGAAGTTATACAAGTATTAATGATGTAACTACGCATATAGCGACAAGATGTTAGAAATGATGAAACGAATACGGGCAACACGCTAAGAGCAATGACATCCACCATATTCATGATCATGAATCATGACAGCAAGAACAGTGCTAACAACCTCGACACAACACTAACTAACAGTCGCACTGACACGAACACTGACAGAAATAGTAGCAGTAGAAGCAACATAAAGCAGAGACAAACTCATTGTCTCGTGTGCTTGGGCAGGTCCAGTGGCAGGCGACTGCCGAATCCTTTGAGGCGTTCCACCATGTATTTCGTATTATTGTTGTATATACTCTTGTAAAAATGAGTTTTGCCATTGTTCATATTGTTCTTACTCCCAAAGACAGCCAGTCCTAGAAATACCACAGGCCACAGCCATTGCTGTGGTGTTGGGTGACTTCTGTGCCTCTTGTTGGTGTTTGTTTCTTTTTTGTTTCAGGTTCCACTGTTTCACTGTAGAGGAAGGCTCCCGCAGCCCGTTTCTCCGGACGCTTGCTGCTGCTTATAGCGGCCTGAGCTTGGATGATTTGTCGGCGCAGGGATCGTTGCTCCAAGTGTCAGTGAGAGCATGCCATCGAAGTCATGTCTTGTGGATGCATATCAGCGTATCATGCACAGGGAAGCAGTCGGGAGTAATCCAGGCCCGCATGTAGGCCTCCGGTTTCCGCTGTCTTTGTTCCTGCTTCCTGGCAGGCTGCGAGCAAAGAACAGAGGGAGCTGCACAGTGAGCTCAATGCGACGTGGCTTCATTTGCAGGGAATGGCTCGACACCGGCCTGTCGTGAAGAGTATCTTCAGCCTGCGCTGCATGAGTTGTTGTGCCGCAATTGCACTGCTTTCATCAAACCCTCAGAGTCAAGCAGTGGGCGCATTTCATTTCTTGCACTGTCAGCCGAGGATGTGAAGCTTCGCTTCTGCATCCTGGCTGGGACAGCAGGGTGCAGCCTGTTCTGGGGCCTAGGTTGGCTGCCATAACTATATGCACATATCCCAATCAGCTCTCACCCAGTCACCAGCATGTTGAGTGCATTTTGGTTCTAGCTGTAGCTACGGTACCTTGGCGTGTCACTCCACAATGCCTGGTGTCCGAAGGCAACCTCCAAGCCGAGAATGCCGCCGAGAAGACGGAGAGCATGTCGGCCAGGGGCGCACTGCAGGATCTCCAGGGCCGCTTGGACGCCAGTCACCCGGCGAAAGACTGGCTGAAGCCTTACTATACCAGATGGAGGTGGGTTCCCGTGGCGACCACAACATTCCTAGGTCTTCCCTTCCACTTCCTGCAGTCCCATGTCAGGG